ATCCCATGGCCTGCCTAAGGACCACATATCCCTTACCTACTGGCAGGCCCTTCCTCTCCATATTGAGACCCCATTCCCTTCCCACTAATTCCACCCACCCATGTGGCCTGCATGAGGACCCTATGTCCCATACTTACTCATGCCATCATCACAGGTAGGGACCCTGGTCCCACAGGCACTACACCCACCCACCACTGTGTGAGAACTCCTGACCACCTCTTCCAGACTCCTGGGGATTGGCCGTGAGAATCCCCTAATGGTACAGAAGGTCAGCTTCCAGGTTTAGAAATATCACCCAGCCAAGTTGAGCCCTAGGGATGACTTCTGATGCCCCAAGATGAACCCTATATTTTGTTAATATTTGTTTGTTTGTTTGTTTGTTTAGTGTGTGTGTGCGCATGCACTCAAACTCAGGTCCTCAGGCTTGGGGGCAAGTACCTTTAGCCACTGGGCCATGTCGCAGGCCTTAGAATTGGATTTCTTGTTTGACTGTAGGTCAACTCTAAAGCAACTCAAAGTTCCAGAAAAGCCAAAATGCATTTTGGGAATCACTCTTGGATAAATTCTTGCATGTTTAAACTTTGGTTTGTTACTTTATAAGCATATCTCTTTTCTGTGGAAAGGCATATGTAAATCAGAATTGCTAACAGAGATTAGGAGGCAGTGAGAAGAAAGTAAAAATATAGAAAAATACCATCCAATTGGCACAAGGTGTAATTAAAGTATTTTCAAGTTTTTTCTTTATATACAACTCAACCAGCTGACAGTTTTAAAAGACTCATTTCTGAATCTTCCCATATCGAGGCCTATTATATTCTCCTGGAATAGAGTTCATATTTAACCCGGTGTACTTGAAAATGAATTTGTCTTCCTCCTACGATACACTTCTTGACTTGCCCACATTCAAAAACTACAGTCATTTTCTTTGTTCTTCCTTTCACCCTGGTGCTGTCACTCTGCTTTTGAAGCATCCTACATTCTGTCCCTTCCTAGCTCTCTCTGTGTCTAGCGTGGTCGACCTCCTCACTGCATCCTGTCTGCACCGTTGTGTTAACTAGGAGGCTGCATTCGCTGGGAAGCAATCGCTCCTCTTTAACTTGGTCCTCCAGTTAATTTTCCTACTAAAACACTCCCACCGTGGTCCTATATTTGTTGTAACGTCAGACACACTGATTTTTAAACAAACTATTGGTAGATAGCTGGTGGCATAGGCAAGTAACCGCAGTTATTTGGGAGGCTAGGGTAGAAGAAGGGCTGTAAGTTCCAAGCCAACCTGGGCTACATGATGAACTGAAATTCAGCCTAGGAAACCTAGCAAGACCCGTCTCAAAAACAAAAATAAAGGCCAGGGGTGTAGCTCGGTGGTAGTGCACTTGTCTGACCCAAGGCCCTGGATTCAATCCTCAGTGGCCACCGCGTCCCAGAATCGTGTGCACCTTTCTCTTTGGTTCAATCACCAGTGTCGGCATTTCTTAGCGCCCCAGGGGTTTGTGGGTAGCTGTGTGACTTTATTTATTTAATGGTTCTGTGCAAATTTTCCTTATGCGTTAAAAAGGAAAATAGTCCATGTTGGAGATCTCTAATCTACAAATCTGCAATCCAAGACAACAGGGCAACAGGAATCAGGAAATTTCATACTTGGAAATATATCAGATCACAGACTTTTTCTGCCTTAGAGATTTTCAACTACTGGAGTCTGGGAAAATACTCCAAGATCGCTTTTCTCTTTGGATGAAAAAAAAAAATTAGAAATTTCAAACTTGAAATACTTCTAGTCCCAAGCATTTTGGATAAGGGACATTCTAGCTATTTCTACATCTAATCGTTGTTTTATTGTGGTAGTTTTTATAAGTTAAAGTTCTTGTATTCTTTTTCATATATATTAGCTTGATGTGTTATAATATGCAAAAAAAATGGTTACTGCTTTCTTATTTGGGGAAAGTTCACTTATTTCTGACTTTTAGGGAAAGTTGTCTCTTACCTGGCCACCTCTCAACTTTCAGGTTGATCCCCCAATATAATCTTCCGTTCCCATTAGGCCAACCCCCTTTCTCCTTAGGTCAGTGTACACCCTTGGCTTTTTGTACTGTGCTGTTTCCACCTGAAGCATCCCGCCTTTTCGAGGCTGATCTCTCGGATTCCACTCACTCTTGTAGACTGGTTCACTTCTCCTCTGTGGAGTCTCCACCAGTTCCCCCTCACACTCATCTCGGTCTTCTCTGAGTTCCTCTGGCATTTAGAGTCTATGTCTCTGTGTATGTAACACACTGTCATCCTCATCTTGTCTCTCCAATAAGAGTGTAAGTTCCCAGAGGACAGTGAGTGTCCTGTATTTCCTTCGTATGTCATATTTCATATCCCCTCTTCTGCATAGCTTGGTCCTGGGTGTTTATTTATCCATTTAGTAAACATGCTTTTTTTTTTTTAAAGATTTCTTTGCCGGGCAGTGGTGGCGCACGCCTTTAATCCCAGCACTCGGGAGGCAGAGCCAGGAGGATCTCTGTGAGTTTGAGGCCAGCCTGGACTACCAAGTGAGTTCCAGGAAAGGCGCAAAGCTACACAGAGAAACCCTGTCTCGAAAAATCCAAAAAAAAGAAAAAAAAAAAGATTTCTTTATTATGTATAGTGTTCTGTCTGCATGTATGCCTGCATGCCAGAAGAGGGCATCAGATCTCATTACAGATGGCTGTGAGACACCATGTGGTTGCTGGGGATTGAACTCAGGACCTCTGGAAGAGCAGTCAGTGCTCTTAACCACTGAGCCATCTCTCCAGCCCTAGTAAACATTCTTTTATGCATATTGTGCTTGTTTTATGTCAACCTGACACAAGCTACAGTCATCTGAGAGGAGGGAAGGAACCTCCACTGAGAAAGTGCCTCCATAAAACAGAGCTCTGGGCAAGCCTGTAGGGCATTTTCTAAATTAGTGATTGAGCAGGGAGGGACCAGACCACTGTGGGTGGTGCCATCCCTGGGCTGGTGGTCCTTGTGCTCTAAGAAAGCAGGCTGAGCAAGCCATGAGGAGCAAGCCAGTAAGTAGGACCCCTCCATGGCCTCTGCATCAGTTGCTGCCTCTAGATTCCTACCATGTTTGAGTTCCTGCCCTGCATTCTTTAGATGATGAATAGTGATAGGGGAGTCTCAGGCAAATAAAGCTTTTCTTCCCCAAGTTGCTTTTGGTCATGGTGTTTCATCACAGCACTAGTAACCCCAGCTAAGACACATATTTAATATACAGTAGTAGGCAATAAGCTGCAATACTTCATTAAGACAAGCTCATCTACTTGGGGGTTCCTTACATTGCAATGGGGAGTTAGGGGTATGAATAGTTATCTATGTAGTCAGTACTTGGACTGTTTCATAGCAGTTGATTAATATGAGAAGCAGCAGGGTAAGTGACTGGCAGTGAGGACTCCTGGTCTGCAGCAATGGCTGCAGGAAGATGTGAGAAAGCCTGAACAGAAGCACTAGAAATAGAGAGGAGGGTTGCAAGAGGCAATGTAGAACTTGGAAAAGCAAAGGAATTGTAACCACAGAATAAACCGTAACCACAGAGTGTAAAGGAGCCCTTCAAAATAACTTAGGTTTTTTTTTTTTGTCTTGTTTTGTTTTTTGTTTTTTTTCCTGAGTACTGATGAGTGTTTGGCTTGGTGGTCAACTTGGCGGTGATTAGAGTCATCTAGGAGACAAACCTCTAGGCAGGTCTGTGAGGGCATTTCCAGAGACGGTTGACTGAAGAAAGGAAACCCACTCTGTCCATGAGAACCCCAGTGGGTGGCCAGTTAGACGGAGGTACAAGAAAAAGGCCATGTATGCCTCTGGCTTCCTGTCTTCATTTATTCTTTTAGAGCAAGTATGTCCATCACTGTTGCCACCACCGGCCTCTGTGGACGTCCGAATCCAGTTCTTTGGCCTTCCAACATGGACCGAATACCAGTGACTCACCAGGGATCTTCTGGGCCTGTTGCACCAGACTGGTACTAGAGAGGCAGCTTAAGGAACTAAGCTTTGCTTTTCTGATGTAAAAAAGTCTCATGGAAGGCAGAGGTGGGGGCAGCAGTGGACTCAGATGGAATTCAGGAAGGAAGGGAGATTAGCAAAAAAAAAGATGGTGGTGTTCAGAAGACAGAGAGCTCGGGGGTGTGGTAGAGAGAGATGTCCACCATCAAGCCAGGCTCCCTGCACCTGCCATCTTCCTGGACTGAGACCACAGGACGCTCTGGAAGGACAGCCTGGCTCCCGAGCCCATAGCCTTTGGGAAACCAACACACAGAGCCCTCCTCCTCTTCCTCCCCATGGTGTGGGTGGCCACATGTCCTCAGTGGGTAGCTCCCAGGAAGCTGTGGGACCGTTTTCACCAGAGAAGGTTTCCCAGGGACCGAGACCCACAAGAGGGGCCCCTCCACCCAAGGGTGGGAGGACTCTCTGAGGCAGTCACAGTGAGGGGAGGCCAGGTGTGGGCACCACAGCTATTTCTAACATGCCAGAGGAAAGGAGCCTTGACTGTTTGAAAAGCAGGCTGATTGTCAGGGGCGGAACCCAACTCAGAGCTGTCAGGGAAAGCTCCTGGCAGGGGGTGGAGACAGGGGGCTTGGGCTGACAGGGCTGTGATTTTGAAAGAAATGTCTTTAAGAGAGTGACTTCAAGTAGGAGAGAAATAGTATTATTAGGTAATGCCTGTCAGGTTATTTTTGATGTGTTCTTGCTATTTCATAATCATTTTGCCTTTAGATGGCACATGAACTGTGCCCCTGGGTTTTACCCCAGGCCTGGGCATGCAACATGCATCAGGGGGTATTTGCTGCCTGACCCATAGTCTCTGTGGTAGAAGGTAAATAATCCTCTAGCGGCTAGTGATGAACACAAATGTGGGTAAGCATTTAAACCTGCACCCTATCAAACGCACCCACCCAGCACCCACCCAGCACCCACCCAGCCCCAGGCATGAAGCTGGCCCCTTGGGTGGGGGAAACAGGAGAGGACAAGGCTCTGGGACTCACCACCAGAAATTCAACCTCCTGAGGGGTAAATGGGTGTAGGGCCCACCTCTGATGTTAGTTCTTTGTTTCCATCCTCTGGAGCCACAATCTCTCTAGCCCGCCTTTGCCATGGCAGCCCTCGGATTCTGGTTCAGAAATGATCTCCGGAACCAGTTGCCTCTTGTCTGTGCCGGCTGCAGGCTCTTCAACCTCTGCCGGGAGATTTCAGTAACTACAAACACCGACTCACTCGCTTGTCACACTCCCTCCCTTTGCTGGCCTATGCAGGCCTCCTCCCTGCTGGAGTCTCCCAGTTGACTATCAGTGTAGCATCCATCCACACCCCAGACTTCTCTGTAGGCCAAAGGCCTCGTGCTGAAGGCTTTCGAGCCAGGATGCCCCCAGTTCTGCTCTGTCTGATAAATAGCAGAGGAGAAGAGAGGTTTGTCTTTCTAGTTTCGGGCCCGGCAATGGGGCTTCACACATGCTAAGCCCACACATTCTACTTCTGAGTCATACTCCCAGCCCTGGACAGGGATTTTTGTTTTGTTTTGTTTTGTTTTTTGGTTTCTCAAGACAGGGTTTCTCTGTGTAGCTTTGCGCCTTTCCTGGAACTCATTCAGTAGCCCAGGCTGGTCTCGAACTCACAGAGATCCACCTGTCTCTGCCTCTGCTGGGATTAAAGGTGTGCGCCACCACCGCCCGGCCAGGGATTCTTAATGAAGAAGATTCAAAAATCTTCTCCCCTGCCCATTCAGGAAGTTCAGTCTGACTAGAAAGCTTTTGAGGCTGTCACAGAAAAATTTCAAATGCAGGAATATGCCTTTGAGGCAGCCAAGGAGCAGCAGAAATGGCCACACACACACACACACACACACACACACACACACACACACACCTTCCCCATGCCTAAATCATGCACACTAGACTAGCTCAGAACAGAATCCTACTCTGAAAACCTCTCCCAACCTCCAGTTTACACCTTCCTTTGGAAATTTAGGGTGGAATATTTATTTGAACAGGAAAGAAGTCATTAAAACAGAAATCAGAACACATGTCAGCAAGAAATGAAATCAGCATAGGAGGTTTTATTCCCTGGGGACACTTGAGTCACTCCTGATGTTCTGAAAGTCAAGAATTAATGGTCACCAAGGACATTTTTTTTGTTTTCAACAGCTTTTTTTATATTTCATCATTGTCTTCCTTATAACAGTTCATCCATTTGCACCGGAGAGTCTTCGGGGAGCCTTGCCTGCCCTGGAGACAGTTGATGGCAGCGCCTACTGCTTGCTTGGGCTCACCAACTGTGACATGCTCACTCTGGAGCAGGTTCAGGACCACGGTTCCTGAGCCCGGCTGGAAGGAGACTGCAAACCCCAGCTTCTCTTCCTTCCCTGAGAAATGAGTACAGCTTCTGCTTCCCGGGCTTTGGGGATCACCTGCCTGGTACAACACTAGGCACCATATTTGGGAAATGTTAGCTACTTTGTGACTCCTAACTAAACCCAAACCCCACCCAGTCTGACACTGAACCTGATCCTGTCACATCTTGAAGTGTCCTACAAATGCTTTTGCAAGTTGATTAATTCTGAGCTGACATAATACTAATACACCTATGAAGCCGTCCATTAGGCCAATCCTTCTAAAAGTAATAAACCCTCATTTTAAACCTGAAATGTTGAACCAGGGGTGTGAGCAAGAAAGGGGGAAGGAAACAATAGACATAAGGAATGCACTTGAAATTATAGGTGTAGGTGAGAACTTTCTGGAGAATGCCAACAGCACAAGGCAAAGTCTTGAAACTCAGCAAACGGGGGTGCATGAAATTAAAAAACTCTGCATATCAATGGAAACCATCAGTAGTGAACAGACAACTTCTTGAATAAGAAAAAAAAATTTTGCAGTATATGCTCCAGACAAGGAGTTAATATCTAGGATATATAAAAAATGCAAAAATTAACTAAGACCACAAAACTGCCTATCAATAAGAGGGCTAATGAACTGAACAGACAGTTCTCAAAAGAAGAAACACAAATGGCCAAAAATTTTTTAAATAATCAATATCCTTAGCCATCAGGGAAATTCAAATAAAGACCCTTTAGAGATTCCATCTCACCCTGTCAGAGTGGACAGGATCCGGGAAACAAATGTCAACACATGTGGGGAGACCGGGCAAAGAGGAATCCTCATTGACTGCTGGTGGGAGTGTGAACCAGTGTAGGTGAAAATCAGCGTGATGATTCCCCTGGAAACTAAAAGTAGAACTGTCAAATAGCCCAGCTATGCCATTCCTGGTGCCCAAAGGATTCTGTATCCCACCTCAGAGACTCTTGCGTATCGTGTTTCTTGCTGTTTTGTTTACAACAGCGGGGAACCAGCCTAGATGTCCATCAGTAGAAGAACGGATAACGCAACCCTGCCATCTGTACGCAATAGAATTTGTTCATCTGTAAAGAGAAACGAAATTTGCAGGAAAATGGATCAAACTGGAAAGCATCACACGCGTGAGGTAAGTCGGTCTCAGATAAAACTCGTATCTTCTCCCTCACGTGTGGATCCTGACCTTTGGTGTTTGTGTGTCTTAGTTTCTTTTCCTGTTGCTGAGATAAAATACCCTGACAAAAGCAGCGTGAAAAGGAACGTTTTATTTCTGCTCACAGATGGAGGAGGCATGGTCCATCATTGTGAGGGAAGTCACAGCCGCTCAGGTTTGGGGCGACTTGCACATCACAGCTACAATCAGAGGAAAGAGAATACATGCTCGCCCTCAGCTCCCTTTCTCCCATTTTCACACAGTCCAGGATACCCTACCCAGAGAAGGTCCTGCTCATAATTAATATGTGTCTTTCTGCATTAATTAGCGTAATCAAAATAATCCCTCACAGACTTTCCCAGAGGCTGATTTGAGTCTCCATAATCCCTCCTGGGCGTGTCCACAGACTTGTCTCCTAGATGATTTGGGGGTTCTGTCACATTTAACCTGTACATAAATAAAGGCCTGTGGGGGTGAGCAGAGACTGAAACTAGATCGGAGTCCCCGAGTGGAATGAGGTGTTGAGAAATAGGGAACGGGCGAAAAAGTCATATGTAAAATGAGAGAGGAATGGAGACTACTGGAGGTGGAAGGGCAGAAGGGGGGGTAAGGGGAGGAGGGAGAGAAAAGACAAATATAAACTTTGTTTGAAAAATGCCATAGTGAAACCTAATTTTTTTTTTTTTTTTTTTTTTGGTTTTTCGAGACAGGGTTTCTCTGTGTAGCTTTGCGCCTTTCCTGGAACTCGCTTTGGAGACCAGGCTGGCCTCGAACTCACAGAGATCCGCCTGGCTCTGCCTCCCGAGTGCTGGGATTAAAGGCGTGCGCCACCACCGCCCGGCCGAAACCTAATTTTTGAATCTAAATTTTCTTAGAAATTAAAAAAGAAAGAAAGAAAAGGCTATAGACCTAGAACCAGATGTGGGGGTGCTTGCCTGTAAATCCAACAATCAGGAGGTAGAGACGGGTGATCCTGAGTTGAGGGCAGCTTGGGCAGCATAAGGAGACCCTGTCTTATAAAATTAGGCTGTGGGGGGTGAGCCCAGTATAGGAGGGGTTCCTGCCATGTCCAAGTCCTTGGTTTGAGCCCCGCCCCATACAAACGGAGGGGCTAAGGCAGACAGATACTGAGACTGTACGTGACTGAGGAAAGGCAAGGATTTGCTGAGTTAGCACAGAAATGGACCCCAGTCTTCTGAATCAAAGAGAAAAAGCCAAATAACCCAGCAGCAAATCGATGAAGAATGTAACTGTGTCGGATAGTTTTGTGTTACTTGACACAAGCTAAAGCCATCTGAGGGGAGGGAGCCTCGACTGGGAAAGTACCTTCCAGCCTTTCCTGGAACTCACTCTGTAGACCAGACTGGTCTCGAACTCACAGAGATCCGCCTGACTCTGCCTCCTGAGTGCTGGGATTAAAGGAGTGCGCCACCACCGCCTGGCCAAAACTATGCTTTGAGTGTTCCAGTTGACTGCTCTATTAGTTTCCTACACTATCCACAAAATGTAGTTCCTGAGCTGGAGAGATGGCTCAGTGGTTAAGGGCACTGGCTTCCCTTCATAGGACGTGGGTTTGATTCCTAGCACCCACATGGCCACTTAGAACCATCTGTAACTCCTAATCTATGGTGATGTCATCCTCCATCTTGATGTCATCCTCCACGGCTTAGAGTTCTCTTTCTCATAAATAGACACCGGCTCCTGCACAAGAGCAATTTTGACTGTATCTGTCTTTACAAAAACAATGGCGACATCGCTTTTCAAAACTGCTCACCAATGTTGCTTTCTTTTTTTCTTGTTTTCTTTCTCATTTTTTTTTTTTTTGAGAGGACTGCCAGTCAATGCCGGACAGTTCCGAGTTTATTTCACAGCCAGATTATATACAATACGTTCTTTTTTTTTTTTTTTAATGCCGAATACCATTTATTGAAGGAGGGAGGAGGTCTTGAATACAGACTTACAGCACAATGGGAAAACCCTGGAGGGCAGAAGTTCGCTACAGATGTTTTACAATCTTTCATCTAAACTGTTAATGCCCATTATGCAGGATACATAGACAAGGAACTTCCCTTAAGCATTCAGGAGGGTGAAACCCGGGAGGGAATTAGCATAGGGAGGATATCAAGGTCAAGGTCAGCAAGCAAGCAAAACTACACAGAGAAACCCTTTCTCGAAAAACCAAAAAAAAAAAAAATTAATTATCAGCCTAAATGTAGCCATTATAAGACCATTAGTTAGGCTCCTTGTGAGCTGCCTGTTTTTTCTTTATGGTTCTTAGTTGTTCATTTGCAGAGCTGCCTGATTAAGTCCTGCTGGGATCAAGAAAAATGGACCTTGGCGGTTCATGTTCCTGGAGTTGTGTCCATGTCAGTGGATGCCCACACACTCCAGAAGAGAATTTGACATTGCTGCTGCCGTTGTTGCTGTTATACCAGTGGCGGCCACAGCTGCTACTGTTTCTGGGATTATCATTTCATAATTGCTTACTACAGCTAGCACAGTGGAGGCCCTGGCAGCAAAAGTAGCTACCACAGTTAGTTAATCTTTCATTCTATTGGGCATGATAAATGTAATTCAATAGTTATATACATTTCGATTGGCTTTTAAAATTATAAATTTATTAACTCAAGTTCCATTTGCCTTTGGGATACCTTCTTTCTTATTTTTACAGCAGTGACTTGAGTAGATTTATGTGGCGGATTGCCACAGTGTGTAAAACTGTTTCAGTAGTCTACGGAAGGAAGAGTGTGCACTAAGTTCCTGTCACTGGGGCCAGAAAGTAGAGAGTGGGGATGCAAATGCTATGCCCACGGTTTTTCCTTCATTAAGTCATCTTCATAGCCCCGAACTGTTCAGTCTTGTATGTTCACATCAGAGAGGCATGGTCACATCCTGCACTATATTCTGTGCATGCTGTCTTCCCACTGTGATTATTTTCAGGAGTCTGTATATACCATACTGTAGTCAGACTTTCTTTTGTGGGACTGCCAGCCTGCAAAATGATGACATGGAGACTTATTATTAATTATGAAAGCATGGTCTTTAGCTTAGACTTGTTACCAACTAGCTCTTACAGCCCAAATTAACCTGCTTTTATGAGTCTACGTTGTGCCACTTGGCTTTTTACCTCTCTTCCATTTTGTATGTCCGATTCGCTCCATGTCTCACTGGCATCTCCACCTCTCTTCTTCCTAGAGTCCTCTCTCTCCACAGAAGTCACACCTATTCTCTCCTGGCTAGCTACTGGCCATTCAGCTTTTTATTAGGCCACCTTAGGCAGAGACACATCTTTACAATGTACAAAAAGATTATCCCACAGCGCCACACTGGAAATATGGAAAAATTGTGCGCTCTCTCTCTCTCTCTCTCTCTCTCTCTCTCTCTCTCTCTCTCTCTCTCACACACACACACACACACACACACACACACACACACACACACAATCTGACTTGATTCCCACATATGCTGGACTCTGGTGAACCTCCAGCTTCCTTTCTGTAGTGGTTTGGAGAAAATACATTACAGTTCCAGCTCTGAGTTTGACTCTATGCACAATACCTTCCCGGAGAATTACAAGAAAGATTTTTTTTTTGGCAGTAGCCTCACAGGCACATTTAATTCCTGAAAGTGCCATCCACGGTGCGTCTCTGTCAAACTCCTTTCTTAAATGTTTCTTGTCTGGGTTTAGCAGCTGAGAGGAAAAGCAAAATCCAGTCCCCTGCTCAAGCCTGGGATTCATTTCCGTTTCCCCTTTCCTACACCTGTGAATCCTCCTGAAAATTGGGCTTGTGACAAGCACCCACCACTTCCACCTCATCCCTAGTTCAAGCCAGGTACACACTGATCGAAGATTCCACGGCATTGTTTCAGCTGTCTCAAATCCTAATGCTGTTTTTCCTCAGACTAGAGATCCTCAGTGGTGAGAAGCCCACCAATCCCATGGTGCATCTGAGTTGGCGGGATGAAGGGCAGGATCTCTGGTTGAGGTAAGGTCTCCCTCTGCTCTCTCTTTGGTGGGTTGGGTTGAGGAAGGCCCACTCAGGACTTCACTTGCTCAGGACTTCTTCCATTCCCCACAGAGACTGATCTGCATAGTCATCTCCTCCGTTTAGTACCCTTTAGAGGATACTTTGGTTTTTTGGTTTGGTTTGGTTTTTGGTTTTTCAAGACAGGGTTTCTCTGTGTAACATTTCTTGCTGTCCTGGAACTCGCTTTGTAGACCAGGCTGGAGGAAGTTTTTAGAGAAGAAAATCATGGCTTAAGAGGAAGATCGATCCAAGGCTGTTTGACTCTCAATGGAGACCACAGTTGTGTGGCCTCTGCCTGTAGATGACCTACCCTAAAAGACACTATTACATAAGCAAGGACAAATAGATGTGCTTGCAAGTTTTGTTTTAAGACAGAGTTGCACTGTATAGCCTAGAATAGACTCAAACTTGATATACAGCCCGGGCTGGCCTCACACTTGGAATCCTGCTGTCTCAGTCTCCCAAGTATTGGGGTTACAAGCGTGTATCACAATGCTTAACTCCGCTTGCAGATTTGAGGTATGGCCACCAGTCTCTGAAGGCAGTAGTTGGGCTGAGCTTCCACTGGAGCCTAGCTGGGAACTCTACATTGTTTCCTAATGATCCTCTCTTAAGAATGAGCTACTGTGGCCAGTCCAGGACAGGAACCCAGCCATTGCCAATCACTTCTTCACTGCCATTAACGCCGTGGAGCACTCCTCTCTGGATCTGCCTGAGGGAAGGAACCACTGACTGTTGGCCTTGGTGGAGGTGTCTCACTCATCTCCTTACTATTCCCCCGGCACATGCCACATATCCTGGGTTCCGGGAGAGAAAATGGTTTGGTCTGATTTTCCTGTTTTTGTTTAAGCTGAATATTTTACTGAAATCCTTCTGAAAGGCTGTCATTTCACAGTTCTTGATCTCTTGCTTTCAAGTGTCTGGTTTCTTCCTTCCTTCCTTTCTTTCATTTGTTTTTCAAGACAAGGTTTCTCTGTGTAGCCCTGGCTGTTCTGAAACTCACTCTGTAGACCAGGCTGGCCTCGAACTCACAGAGATCCACCTGCCTCTGCCTACCAAGGGGTGGGATTAAAGGCGTGCGCCACCACTGCATCGCTCGTTTTTAACAGCTGAGCTGCCTCTCAAGTCCCACATGACTCATTTCCACTTCCTCTCCGTTATAGACAGGCTTAATGAACTAAATCGCTTTGACTACGTACAATGCGTGTATTTCGTAACTCTCTTCTCCTTGACTTTCTTTCCTTTGGCTTTTGTATGGTATTTGTTTTGTCTTGTTTGTTTGCCTTGTTTTTTGAGACAGAATTTTACCTACATAGCACAGGCTGGCCTAGAACTCACTGTGCAGCCCAAGCTGGATTTGAACTCATGAAGCTCCCAAGTACTGATCTCCCTGATTTGCATTAATCATCTGTTAAACTCTCATCAGAGCATCTGATCAGTCATTAGTTTCTCTACGAAGCCTATCTGATCTTGGGCAACATAAGGAACCCCAGTGGTTTACTTACTCAGGGTGGGGTGTTATTTCCGAAGGCGGGCTGACCTCACATACATTGCCCAGCCCTGAGAATTGCAGGTGCCTGGTGTTTCCCTGCTCCAGGATTATAAACCCACATACAAAATCCAGGTCTTGCCTTGCCTGTCACATTCTTTGCTGGCTTCCTAAGGCACAGTGGTGGCCTGCTGAACATTTACCAAACGCTTGCTGATCACCCGGTGAATGTAGACCCTTGCACCTCCCTTTCAGCAGTTCTCAACCTGTGGGTCAGGACCCCTTTGGGGGTCGTAGGACCCTTTCACGGGGGTCGCCAAAGATCATCGGAAAACACAGATACTTACATTATAATTCTTAGCAGTAGTCATATTACAGTTCTGAGATAGCAATGAAAATAATTTTATGGTTGCAGTCACTACAGTGTGAGGAACTATATTAAAGGGTCGCAGCGTTAGGAAGGTTGAGAACCAATGCTTTGTTTCCTGCTTGGGCCCCTTGCTGCTCTTGGTTCCCGCTGGGTGATCTGGAAGGACTGTCCTGGTGCTGCCACCTAGAGGTTCATCTTAGCCTTGCACTTAATTCACAGGAACACTACCCCAATGAGTTCACTTCTGGAGATGGCAAAAAAGGTATGTTCATGAACATTCCCGTTGCTCGGCCTTGTCTCCCCTGCTCCACCTGCTTCCTCTGGGAGGGGTCCACTCCATAGTCTGTGCCTGCTCATTGGGCACCTAGGAAGGGACCACTGACAAGTCTCCTCTGCTTCCTTGTGTGTAGTTTGGGAGACTATGGCTGGGGTGTGGATCCTCTTGGGTGGCCACCTTGTTCCCCAAATGGGGATCAAATGGGAATGGACTGATCTCACTATCTCCCCAGGCCTTGTGTGAAACTGGACCATGAAGTTATAGGGAACCCCTTTGTGAGCTCTCTAGAAAGTAGGGGGACTCTCACAGGGGTCCCCATCTTTCTTCTTTCTTCTCCACCCACCCAACTGTACTGAGGGTGTCCCCTGAGTCAGCATAGACTGTCATAGGTTCTGGGGTCCGCAGGGGGTTGTGATCTGAAGCAACTGCCAACACACCTCTGCTAGAAATCCTTCACCCCAAGAGCTGTCTCCCTTACCAAAGAGATATCTTACCTGGCTTGGTGATTCATCACTGCTCCAGAAGGCTATAAGAAGTTGAACATAACTGTGTTCTAGATTCCTTCATGTGAAGCCCCGGATGGCACTCCAAACTTGAGAATGTTTTGTATTAGTCAAGGTTCTCTAGAGGACTAGAGTTGATAGAATGAATCTGTATATACTAAAAGGGGATTTATTAGAATGGCTTATACCTTTTGAGGATGAGGAAGATTCTCAGCAAGGCAGGGAATGGGGTGGAGACTCTGCTGGCTGTGGAAGGAATCTCTGGAGGGAAAGATACACAAGCCCAAGATCTCAATACATTCTCCTTCCATTTGATTTAGACTCTAGGCGTCTTCACACAAATTAATCTCAATTTCATTTGTCCAGAGAATACAGGGGGCTGGCTTCTGTAATCCATTTTTTCTTTCCAGGCATTTGCACTTGTCACAAGATAAATGTGCATGTCTGGTTCTGTCTGCGACCAGGCTCCAGAGTCTAGGCATCGAGACAATAGTGGGAATTGGGTCACGTGGATCTTTGCCTGGCTCTGACTCCACCTTACTCAGTTCCTTTGGGGCAAACATCTTCTGTCCCTAAGCCTTAGGAGCAGTCTCCAATGCTGCCTATGGTGTCAGCAGTCTGAGAGAGCAGATGAGACAGTGGTGGCCAAGGCCAGGACCCCTAGAAGGACTCCTGACTGCAAGGTTTGTTACACTCACCTCCAGCAGTTACAAACAGAGAAGCTGAATGTCCCACTCTGTGTGACTGAATGGCTTTATGAAGTGTGACTGGAGGAGCCCAGATGCGGACTCTGAACTCTGTTCCCTGACTTTATGTGAGTGTGAGTCCTTGGTCATATCCAGAGACTCAGATTCTCATCGAACAGATAAGATACTGCCCATGAGAAGGTCTCCTGACCTCCCTGTCCTCTTCTTGGGCAGCTGAGGTTAATGCACGATTCCATTTCAGTCGGAAGTTGGAGCCAAGAATGTGGCCAGCTCTTCTGCCAAGTATCTCCAGGAGCAATGAGTGGTTTCTGTTTAGACCCTTTCTCAAAACAAAAGCCTTCCCAGTGGTGATGGATATGAGTTCACGCTTCTCTCGTCCATCCTGCCTCAGGCCTGACCACATCTCCTGAACCAAGAGGTCATAGTCAACTGGGCAGGGCTGTGTGAGTCATCTCACATCCTTGAACTTCACTGGCATCTATGCTGAGGTCATAACGCAATTATTTGTCTTTATTATTGTCTGAAATAGCCCTGAAATAACCCCAATCAGCATTGTATTGATGTATTTTCTGCCCCGTGGCTGCCCCCTTAGTGGCCAGATGTGTGCCAAGTAAGGTAGTCTGTATTTGTAGTTTGTGTTTTGAGACAGGATCTCAAACTGGGTATCCCTGGCTGCTTTGGAACTTGCTTTATATACTAGGCTGGCCTCGAACTCAAAGAGATCTGCCTGCCTTTGCCTCCCAAATTCTGGGATTAAAGGTGTACACCACCATGTCTAGAGTGTGAGTGTGTGTGTGTGTGTGTGTGTGTGTGTGTGTGTGTGTGTGTGTGTGTTTCAGATGACAGGCAGATCTGAGATGTGTATTTGGGAGCTTGCCAAAGCTGTCAAACCCAACTACAGCCTCACCATCATGAAGGAGGACCTGGCTCCAGGTACAGGACATCTTAGGCCCCAGTGGGTGACTTTTGAGGTGCATTGATGGGGTTTTAAATGTCCAAGCAGCAGACAGATGGACTGGGAAAGAGGAAAGTTAGTCACTAAAAATTAGTACTTTTTTGTTTTTTTCTGGGGGGGGGTTAGAAATATTCTGGGGATGGCTCAACAGCCTTGGAAATGTATTAAGTATAACTGTGTTATACACTTGAAGTGTTTCATTTGTTATATAAATTCTACCTCAATTTAAGAAATCACTAGATGTTGCTTATGCTGGTGGATTTGTGATTAGACACACAGGATGCTCCAGTGGTGAAGTATCAGCTTCTTCTTCTTCTTTTTTTTTTTTTTTTTTTTTTTGGTTTTTCGAGACAGGGTTTCTCTGTGTCACGAAGTATCAGCTTCTTGAGGGTCAGTTTTGGAGACTGCGCTAGTGGAGGGCGAGGACAGATGAGAGACTCACAGAGACCACAGTGTTCCGGTTTGGTTTTGCCGATGCAAACCAGTAAGAAAACACTGACCGAAAGCAATGAGGAGGAAAGGCTTATCTGGCGTGTAGGTTACAGCCCATCAGGACAGGCGGCTGGAGGCAGGAACCTGGAGGCAGGAGCTGAAGCAGAGACCTTGGAGGAATATTACTTACTGGCTAGCTCCCCTAGGTGAGTGTAAAAAAAGATTTAGGACACAGAAGGTTGAGACAACCTAGCCTTCACTAGGCTGTCCAGGCTGGTCTTGAACTTCTTGTCATAGTCATCCTTGCTGAGCTCGGACTATGGGCGTGTGCCACCATGCTCTGTGTGATTGCTGCTTTTATTGTTGCTGCCACAGAAATTCCTGGTAGACTTAAGGAAGGAGGTGGGGAGTTTCTCATGGTTCTAGGGCAAGGTCCACCATAGCAGAGATATCATGAGGGCGGAAGCTTAGGCAGCTGGCTCCCGTCCGCCTGCAGAAGGAATGAGACAGTCCATGACCCCGGCCCATGGAATGATACTGCCCACCCCAATTGCCTGATCTAGAAATCTTCTCATAGGTTTCCAGGGAGGCTTATCTTCATGTCATTCTAAATCTCCTAAGTTGATAATCAAGCATAATCATCACAGATAGCTTTGTGCAAAGGTATCTTACAAGTGCCATTCAAGTTTATAGCCAGCTGACTGAGTGAGATCATGCCATCAAACCTGGATGGGAATCCCTGTGGCTTCTGTGAGGAGGAAGGCATTGTGTATAGACAGCAATTCTAATTCTCGGTGACAGCTCTCCCTGGGGCTATTAGACTTTGCCCAGCTGTAGTTGGACTTTCCTTGGACTGCCAGCCTACAAATAATGACATGGGGACTTCTTATTAATTATGAAAGCTTGGCTTTAGCTTAGGCTTGTTGCCAACTAGCTCTGTCACGTGGCTTTTTTTTTTTTTTTTTTTTTTTTTTTTGGTTTTTCGAGACAGGGTTTCTCTGTGTAGCTTTGCGCCTTTCCTGGAACTCGCTTTGGAGACCAGGCTGGCCTTGTCACGTGGCTTTTTTAAAAAAGATTTATTTATTTATTATGTATACAGTGTCCTGCCTGCACATATGCCTGCAGGCCAGAAGAGGGCGCCAGATCTCATTACAGATGATTGTGGTTGCTGGGAATTCAACTCAGGACCTCTAGAAAAACAGCCAGTGCTCTTAACCACTGAACCATCTCTCCAGCCCTGGCTTTGTTTGTTTCTTTTTCTCTCTCTTCCATTCTGTATGTCTGACTTGTTCCATGTCTCCTGTCATGGCTAATTCTTCTTCCCAGCTTTCCTCTCTCTCCCTGGGAATCCCGCCTATCCTCTCCTGCCTAGCTATTGACCACCCAGCTTTTTATTAAACCAATCAGAAGGTGCCTTAGGCAGAGCCCCATCTTTACAGTGTACAAAAAGATTATCCCACAACACCCAGCCAGCCCCACCATCACCCCCTTCACGTCCTCATAACATCTCCTAATATATGCCCTATGAGTTCTGCCTCTGGCTGGGTCTAACTGATACAGACTTGGATGCCAAGAACAATCCCAAAGAACAGAATCTTAAGGATGAATTTTCCTCTTTGGTTCTGGGTTTCTGGAACTCTGTTAATTTGACTTGGTTTAAAGACATTAATGACTCTCTTTCCCGTGGAAAAAAACAGACGTGGTTGCCCATGGCATGATGGATGCCACCATAAACATCTATATGTGGGGCAGGTCACCAGCCAGTGCCCGAGAGTCCCAGCCTGCCCTTCCTGATGGCCTTCCCTGTGGGTCTCAGGCTTGCCTAACCAGCCCCATCATCATGTCAGAAAATTTCTTCTACTAAGTCTTTGTGTATTTTATTTCCATCCATTTTCTCATGGTTCCCACTTCAGTGGTTGACCCTGACTTACAATCAGGTCACTCAGTTCTCTGCCTGTGTGTTTGTATAACGCAGCCCCGTGGCTGTCCTGCTTTAGGTTTCAGCGTGGTGGTGAGAGAGAGACTAGATGTCCCATGAAGCCCCTCGGCAGCTGTCAGTGCTGTGCCTGTGTGGCTGTGCCCCTGACACCAACCACAGGTGCAGAAGGTGTAGCTCAGGGGTACAGTGCCAAGCCTCAACCTGTAGTTGACCAGAGTGTCGGGGGTGGGAGGTGGCACTTTGTAGCCCCACCCTTCCTGTTCCTTATCAGAGAAGGCAGCTGTTGTGAAATATTATTTTAACTGGGCAAAGATGTGTTCCATTTGTTTATGCTGCATTTGTTAGCAATATAAGGATGTGTGTTTAAATATGTAAAGATGTGTTACATTTGTTTCACCTTGCCTGCCTAAGGTACCTGATTGGTCTAACAAAGAGCTGAATGGCCAACAGTTAGGCAGGAGAAATGATAGGCGGGGCTGGTGGACAGAGAGAATAAATAGGAGAAATCTGGGGGGGGGGAGAGAGAGAGAGAGAGAGAGAGAGAGAGAGAGAGAGAGAGAAAGAAGAAGAAGGAGGAGGAGGAGGAGGAGGAGGAAGAGGAGGAAAAGGAGGAGGAGGAGGGGAGAACAAGGGACTTGCCTGGGGCAAGAAGCCAGGCAGCCTCCAGCCAGTCAGACACAGAAGTGGTGAAAGTAAGTTATACAGAAAGAAAAGGTTAAAGGCCCTGAGGCAAAAGGTAGATAAAGAGAAACAGGTTAAGCTAAAAGAGCTAGCCAGAAACATGCCTAAGCTAGGCCGAGCATTCAAAACTAATAAGTCTATGTCATGATTTGGGAGCTGGTTGGTGATCCCAAAGAAAAGGCCTGGTACAGGCAACCTCATTGCCCAGTAGGTAAATGACATGAACAGCCCCATGTTGGGGATAGGTGTCCCTAGGTAGCACCTTGGGTGACAAAGCCCAATAGAACTGCCTGACGACGTTTGCACTTTTGTCCTTAACTCTTTTGTGCCGCAGTGACAGAAAAGATGGCCAGGCATGGCAGCACCTACCTTTAATTCCAGCATGCAGGAGGCTGAGGCAGGTGAATCTCTTGAGTTCAAGACCAGCCTGATCTACATAGCAAATGTGAGCTAGCCCTGAAGTCCCCTGCATCATAATGTGTGTGTGTGTGTGTGTGTGTGTGTGTGTGTGTGTGTGTGTGTGTGTGTGTGTGTGTGTCCAGACGGGGTGTGGGGTGGGGTAAAGACCCATTCCTAATAACCTGACTGGCTGCAGCCAGCGTGTGTCATAGATGGACAAAGTATGATTCAGAATTTGCCTTTTATGGGCATGGTCTGATTAGTTGTCAACTCATGATTGGCTGAAGCTTGACTACTGCAGTTGGTCAACAGTTGCTTGTTTACCAGGGTTATTTACTCTTAGATTACAATTTGTTGAAACATCAAGCTAGGGTACAGTTCACTGTGACTGGAGCCTGCTTTGGGCCAGACTTGATCAATTTCGTAGGTAGAATTAGGCCCAATTTATCTGAGTTTGACAATATTTTACCCTTTAAGCTTTTTCCCCTCTTCTTTTTAATTTAAAGACAGAGTCTCAGTATGTAGCCCTGGTGGTTTTGGAATTTGCTATATAGACCAGGCTGGCCTCGAACTCACTGATTCACCTGACTCTGCCTCCTAGCAGCTGGGCTCCAAGGCCACTTTCTAGTTCTTTTCTCATTGCAGAGGGCCCCCCTAGCCCCCCAGTCCTGGAGTCACCTGAGACAGAGGAGACAGGTTTTTGAAGGAAGGACTAATTCTTCTTCCCCACATAAACAGGGCAACACAAGGGATTTTCTTCTCTTCTTCCCTCCAGACGGGAGCCAGAGCTGCGGCCTTATCCCCAGTGTAGAGGGGAGCTGGTCCAGGCCTGTCACCCTCCTTCATACACATGCTCATCCCACAGAGCGTCCATGGTCAAGCTGCTCGCTCTCCAGCCAAGTGCTAGCACCTGCCCGCGGGGACAGTTACCTGCTGAGAAAGGCCTTCCTGGTCGGCCACTGGTCCAGGATGAGCTAAGGGTCCTGTGCTATGGTGCCTGTCAGCTGAGAGCGGGGCCTCTCTGCTCTGACCCCTGGATTCTTCCTCTTCTAGTGCCTGGTGCAGTCAGCCCCAGGAAACATGCAGTGAACAAATGGAGTCACAGCTGGGGACCATGGGTGACAGAGTGCTGGGGACCGTGGGTGACAGAGTGCTGGGGACCGTGGGTGACAGAGTGCTGGGGACCGTGGGTGACAGAGTACTGGGGACCGTGGGTGACAGAGTACTGGGGACTGGGTGACAGAGTACTGGGGACCGTGGGTGACAGAGTACTGGGGACCGTGGGTGACAGAGTACTGGGGAGTGTGGGTGACAGAGTGCTGGGGACTGTGGGTGACAGAGTACTGGGGACTGGGTGACAGAGTACTGGGGACTGTGGGTGACAGAGTACTGGGGACCGTAGCAGTCCAAGAGAAATCAGCCTCTCTTGTCAGCAGTGAGCATTTAATAGAGGATTTGGAAAGTGAGGAAAAAATGAGAAGAAAAAATTCATCTCTACTCCCTTGGAGATAACTCAAAACTAATGTTTTGGCATAAATCTCTCTCTCCAGTCTCTTTAATACCTGTTTTAATGTAATTGATCCATGTCTATAATGTTGCCATTCCAATATTCACAATATAATGTATTTTCCTACATAATAAAAAGTTGGTTTCAAAGCTATTTCTACAATCTGCATACTTCACATGCGAATAGTCCCTTATTTAACCCTTCGCCTACATCAGAATTAAGCTATTCATTCATTCATCCACTCTTCTGTATTGCTAAGACCAAAAAGCAGGTATGAACACTTCAGAGGCTAAACCTGGCCGTTTCTTTCCTTCAGAGTCTATCTTCGGGATAGATTTCAGGAAATGGATTGCACTATATTAAAGAGTGCAAACGTTCGGGAACCCTGAAGAGCTAGGTGGCTTTGTCTTACTTGCAAGTTAGTATGTGCGAAAACGAGGTTAAGCTCCGTGTGAATGGCCAAGTATGTGTCCGTGAAACCAGGATCCCGAAGCATGGATGGAAGACCAGGTCTGAGGTCTCTCTCCCAGACGAGACTCTCAGCATCATAAGGTCTCCTGAGTCTATTAAATCATTCTTGGTTGGGAAAGTCAAACATACTTTTGAGTTGATTTTTGAGGAAGCCATTCTAGTACTCAACAGTGCCAGATGCCTACAGATGGCAGGAAGTGTGGCTACCCTGACTGTCAGCCACTGTGGAGTGACTTTTGTGATAGAAGTGTACCGCCTGCAGACTACATATGGCTTGGAAAGGCAAAATTAGATCATGAATCCATTCAGTAGCCTCCATTTGTACCTCAGAGTTGGCTGATCAAATTGGAGTACAATAATATGGAAAAGTGTCACCAGTGATAGGCAACACCAATCACACTAAGAGCTGTAACTGTACCCTAGACTGTTTCCTTTTTAATCTTCCACCATCACCAAAAAAGGCAGGCCAGTCCTTTCATGGACTCTGCATTGGAGATATCACATGCCTCAGGTGGACACTCTACTTAGTGCTTTCTACCCTTTGTTCCACAATACAGCACCCTTTGAGTGGGAGCCAAGAACCACTGGCTGTATTGGAGCAGTTTAGGGCCATGTCCTGTGCAAGGGGAACGCTTTCCTTGCAATAGAATTGGCCAAATGCAAGCCTGGCCTGCCATGGTAGTCTCTGCATTGGTAGCAATCTTTCTAGCTCAGAACCACGGATGTGATACCATGTCCAACACAATGATGGATAGAATCCAGGTCATGCAGACTAAGTCAACAGCCTTACTCCAGCTGGTTCAAAGAAAACATGCTCTTAGGATGGGCATCTATGTATTTATGTGTCTCAGACAAGCAGATCCCAGCCACATTTTACCCAGTTCACAGACCCAAATAGAGGAGTCTTTAAATACCATTTGAGGGGCTGGAGAGACGGCTCAGTGGTTAAGAGTCCTGGCTGCTCTTCCAGAGGACCCAAGTTTGATTTCCAGCACCCACATGGCAGCTCACATCTGTCTCTTAGTTCCAGGAGATCTGACACTCTCTTCTGGCCTCCAGTCAGCAAGCACACAGGTGGTGCACAGACATACATGCAGGCAAAACATCCATACATAGACAATTAAAAAGAAAAAAATAAGCCAGGCCGTGGTGGCGCACGCTTTTAATCCCAGCACTAGGGAGGCAGAGGCAGCCTGTGAGTTTGAGGCCAGCCTGGTCTATAAAGCAAGTTCCAGGACAGCCAAGTTGCACATAGAAACCCTGTCTCAAAAAAACAAAACAAAGCAAAAATTTAAAATATAAAATAAAAATAAATACCAGTTGAGGTTTTTGAAGGGGCAAACTAAAGTAGGCATTGGCAACAGGCTAAGACTTAGGAGACGCTAAGGAAAACCAAGTGGCATGCTATGGCCAGGGCTACTCAACAGGTTCTGCCTACAGGGCAGTGACTAATCCACTTTCTGTTTGGTGTGGCTGCTTCTGAATAAGCTACAGCTGCTGGACACCAGCACGCTTCAGCTCAGTTGAGCGATCAGTAAATCCGCAGAAACTGTGTTAAGGTCCCCCATGGAGCCTGCGGCTTTAAGTATGGCCGTGTTCTCCCCTAAAAGGCTAGCTGCCGATTTTCTCCATGTGAAGTTGAGATACCACCTGGACCCAGGTAGCTAGACTCCTGAATAGAGCACTTCCCTTTTACTAACATGGCTTTCAAGAATCATCTTCAGGCTGGCCTTTGACCTCACAATCCTCTCGCCTCAACCTCGGTGCTGAGATTACTGGCACATGCCACCATATCCAGCTGAAGTACTCTATTTTAAGGGCATGAGTTGCTCCTCCAGAGAACCCAGGTTCAGCTCCCAGCACCCGCATGTGGTGGCTTACAAGCATCTGTAACTCGAGTTATAGAGGGTCCGGTGCCCACTTCTGGCCTTCTTGGACATAGCACACACATGGTATACAGACTGCTGTGGGATGGTCTGTATGTCAAATGTGTTGCTGATTGGTCAATGAATAAATCACTGATTGGTCAGTGGCCAGGCAGGAAGTATAGGCGGGACTAACAGAGAGGAGAATTGAGAGAACAGGAAGCTGGGAGAGGGAGACACTGCCAGCTGCCACGATGACAAACAGCATGTGAAGATGCCGGTAAGCCATGAGCCATGTGGCAAGGTATAGATTAATGGAAATGGATTAATTTAAGCTGTAAGAACAGTTAGCAAGAAGCCTGCCACGGCCATACAGTTTGTAACCAATATAAGTCTCTGTGTTTGCTTGGTTGGGTCTGAGTGGCTGTAGGACTGGCAGGTGAGAGAGATTTGTCCTGACTGTGGGCCAGGCAGGAAAACATAAGCTACAAATGGCGTCCAACGTGGTGCAAGAGTTTCCACCTAAAACCTGAAAAAAAAAATTCTAAAACGGAGCTAAAAACAGTTCCTAGTTGTCTCTTTCAAGTTAGCGGCAGCTGCCGGTTTGAGCTACTGATGGGTTCCTAGTGTGTGCGCTCGACCTGCAGTATGGCGGGAATGAGGCCTCTGCAAGTGGCACATTAAGCTGCATGGTGGATTTAGCCTTTGCTAGTACAAAACAAAAAAAGAGGTTTCTGGGCTACACGATGCTTGGATAAAAGCATAGACCCACTATTTCTGAGAGTTGATGGCTCCCAGAGCTGGCGGAAAACATATCACCGCCATGTTGGGAAGCTGAAGTGGGCGGAGCCAGCAGCGCCAGCAGCGCCAGCGCCGTTTCAGGCTTAGAAGGCTGCAGTTCAAAGCAATAGGCTCAAGCTAATATAAAAAAATAAGCCACGTAAAGATGGCTACCACACAGAGAATCTGGATTATGTTCTCTTTGATATTCGTAACTAAAGAAAAGCATTTGATTACAAAAGCTGTTGAGTTATGCCAAAATGTATATTTTAAAGGTACCTTGACTTCAAAATTTGGATGTAAGGATATGTTGCTTTGGAAAGGAGGCTCTGCTTTTGTTTCCTCAGAAAGCCAGAGGCTATGGATTTGTTCCAGATTAAGACACATCAGGTTTGACCAGCCAAGACCCCCTGAAAGGTCTCCGATGACACCATGGCCCAGATGATCCAACATCCAGAACCGTTTCAAGGCAACTGGCTCAGACAATACACCCTCATGGACTACTCCATAACCCTAAAATATTCTTTGTGTCCCCATAAGATACAGCACCCCCCTCCAGCAGGAAGTAGTAAGAGAAGCTACGCCCAAATTCCCAAATATACCAAGCTGACTTTGGAGATGTGTAAAGGTTAAAACCTTCCTTTTTTAAGAAAAGAAAAGGGGAAGTGCTGTATGTCAAATGTGTTGCTGATTGGTCAATGAATAAATCACTGATTGGTCAGTGGCCAGGCAGGAAGTATAGGCGGGACTAACAGAGAGGAGAATTGAGAGAACAGGAAGCTGGGAGAGGGAGACACTGCCAGCTGCCACGATGACAAACAGCATGTGAAGATGCCGGTAAGCCATGAGCCATGTGGCAAGGTATAGATTAATGGAAATGGATTAATTTAAGCTGTAAGAACAGTTAGCAAGAAGCCTGTCATGGCCATACAGTTTGTAACCAATATAAGTCTCTGTGTTTGCTTGGTTGGGTCTGAGTGGCTGTGGGACTGGCAGGTGAGAGAGATTTGTCCTGACTGTGGGCCAGGCAGGAAAACTCAAGCTACAACAGACAGACATGCTGGCAGAATCCTCATATACATAAAATAAAAATAAATCTATTTTTTTTGAGACAGGATTTCTCTGTGTAGCCCTGGCTGTTGTGGAACTTGCTCTGTAGACCAGGCTGGACTTGATCAACTTCACAGTTCCACCTGCCATTGCCTCCCAAGTGCTGGGCTTAAAGGCGTGCACTACTACCCCCCAGCAATAAATCTTGTTAATCAGCTTTGAAGGAGAATCGCTGATTACTGCGTCAGGAACACAGTAAGCCCCAAATGCTCAGAGGCACCTCTAGCTTCCCTCTATTGGAAGCTCCAATCAGCAAAACTATCAACTATAGACACTTAAAGCATTTTAAAGGGAGTGTTAGGGTTGTTGGACCCTCAGGGAGTGACCTATAGCTTGCTCGACAGCTCTTGGTCTGAACGTTGATCAAAGGGAGATGATCTGTAGAGAAGCCCACGAGAAGGACGCAATAGAACAGGCAGTAAGGCACGGAGTTCAGGAAAGTACTGGGCCTACATTTTTCCTGCTGACGGGAAAGTGGGAGATAGAGGAGACAGCCCTTCTCCTTGACCGCTCTGAGGAACTGCAGGGGTGACTCTCTCAGCCTGAAGAAACTGAATTTTGTCAGAGATTATCAGTCATCTTCGCTGGTGCCTGGAGGTGTCCCAACATTATGTCAAATAAAAGCCTAGAGGTGTTGGCTGCAGGCTGGAGCCAAGGAGACAAAGGGTTGGGGTCCTCCTGTTGAAAGCCCCTTGTTCCCTTCCTACAGATGACCAGCTCCTTCACCTCAGTCAGATGTCCTGTCTTCAAGAGCCAGTCTGAGTTCTGAAACGTATAGGTACTGTCTATCCTTGTCCAGCACCAAGGCAGAAAAGGAAATTCCAGTGCCAACCAAGACCAGAGCAGCATTTCCAAGGACCCGGTTCCAAGCAGCCACACCAGCGATTTGGGGAGGCAGGGACTCTGCAGGTTAACACGGCTTCACAATGCTGGACAAAAGGCGCTACCACCATACAGTGAGAATATTTATTGAGAATGGCTCATTACAAACAAAATATATTTATGTAGAAAATCCTCTGCTATGCAAAAGATCCCTTTCATCCTCCTGTGGCTAGAGTGAACAAGACAGTCTACAGTCCCCATGTGGCCTCAGAGCCTACCCTGGGCTGCATGAGAAGCTGAGACGCTGTGGGTATCACATGCTGTGGGCAAGTCTCTGTGATGCCAAGGCTTTCTCTAGCCCATTTCCATGACTAGTGCAATGTAACAGAGTGCCTTGTGACACTTCCTCTGTGACTGTCCTCGGACTGTCCTTGAAGACAGCAGCTTTCCTGTTAATCTTACAGACAGATGGAGCCTAACGTGTGATTTGCCCTGAGAAGCCATTATCTGGGTCCAGGGGCTGAGTATTTTTAAATGTCCTAGATGGTTAAGATGACCACCTTTTATGGAAGCCACCTCCCACAAGCACCCATGAGCCTGTGTGCCACGTCTCATCCCATCCAGCTGTTGAGAAGGCTTTACCTATCAGCCCGTCCTATCAGCCAGTCTCAACACTTATACCTGAACCTCTTCTGAGGACACCCATACCCATAGCTGCTATGTGGTACTCCTGAGCTTGGAGCTAGAGTTCCTTGGGGCCTTGGGCTACCCAGCATTAAGGCAATGGAAATGAGACCAGACTGAAAGCAGTGCTAGTCTCTGAAACCCAGAGTGGCTGCCTAGCCAACAGCACCTCCCTTCAGCCCAAGGCTTCGTCTCCTATTGAGGAATAATATGGGTGACTGGTCTGACTGCCCTTGTAAACAGACCACCTCTGACCCTCAAACTACCATGAGGGCCAGCTAGTGGTAGGGAAGCAGCCACTGCCACGTCATGCCTTGAGCACTGAAGACCAGACCCCTGGAGCACAGGGTGGTGAGAGGCTGCTGGGGTACCGTGAGGAGTGGGCTCCCTGGTCTCCTTAGGAAGGACCCACTCCCTCGTGTCTTTGGTGCAGCTTCCCGACTCAGCCTGCTGGCCAGGCCACGCCAGTCATCTTGTTAAGAACTTGGACTGGCCTATCTGCCCTTGTAAAGACGTTAGCGGTTTCAGAGTACCTGTGTCTATTACTGTTTTACTCCCCACACAGGGAAACCCAGTCTCAGGGAAACAGCAAGAGCACAAAAAGGACAAAGAAATCAGCTCTAGTTGATGGGACTTGACACTGGCATTGCCTTCTTCAAGACGGAAGAGACCCAGGATTCTGTTCCAGTGCTCCTGGTGTGAACACCAGGGTGGAGGGGAGGCGGCCTGCTGTTTTAGGCGCACAGACCCTCTAGTACCCATCCTCAGAAGGCTCCCAGACTTAGAGGGCAGATACTGCTGTGGGAAGTCAACCTGGTGTCAGGAGGCCTCCTGGATGTAGGGGCTCTCTGGGGAGTCTCTTGTCAGCTCCCTCTTCCTGGAACATTCTCTCTACTGTCATCCATTTGGCCCTGCCCACTCCTAAAGGCTTTCCATTCTACAGGAGGGTACCTAGAAGCTAAGAAGGTATCAGCATCCCAGGGGTCAGAAAGCCTCTGAGTGGCCATGAGGTATGCTTATGCTGCATGAAAACAAGGCCTCGTGATCAGTCCCAAAGACCAGAGACCCTTGGAGGCAGGAGAAGGCAGTGACGCCATCCACCATGGGGCTTGGAGCTGAAGGCCTGGCTTTGGATGTGCTCTCCCCAAACACGCTGCTCTCTCAGGTTTCCTGCCTCTCCCCTTGCCTCAGTATAGCTGCGTTCAGACTTGAGGACTTCCTCTGGGCACAGCTGGAGTCAGACTTAGGGTCTTGAGAGATCCTCTCCTTAGATGCTCTTGGGTTGTCTCCAGCAATGAGAAGGTGTTTGGGGTAAATGGCAGGATGACACTGGTGGACAGAGCAGTCACGGAGTTCCCAAGAGCTTTGTTAAACAGGCTGAGACTACAATTCTGAACCTCAGCCCCAGCAGCCCTGGGTGGGGGCATCCTGAGTGGGTCTGGCTCGGGTAGGACATAGGGAGGGTCTGAGGACCTAACACACCAGGCTCCTGCTGTCAGCTGTCCAGGTAGACAAAGAGGATGTCCTCATCGGTGCCATAGCTGGTTCTGGCCTCCTCGAAGTTACTGATGCTGGTGCTGCACATTCCTGCCAGGTGTGAGAAAGACAGAGTTGGGTCAGTGGGCGGTGGTACCCAGGGGGACTGGATGGGGTCTGTGTTCTACCTGCCTCGCCACCTCTCGGCTCAAGCCTTCCATCCCTAGGAAAACTTTCTTGCTTATTCAGTCCTTCCTGAGTTAGTTCTTTCTTCTGACACCTTCCCAGTTTAGCAGAGAAAGTGAAGCCCATAGAGAAAGTGAAGCCCAAAGAGAAGAAAAAGTATGCTTAATATGTCTTAAGACACACTGGTGGTCCTTCTCCACACATGGCCTGAGGACAGTGGGCAGTCTATGAGGGCGAGGTCTGGCCAGACTTTCGAGCTTGTGTGCTGGCCATCCCAGGAAGCCTAGGAGCAGGGGCAGTAGCCTGCGGAACCTAAGTTATCACAGTGGGGACCCGAGCAGTGAGTGGAGCTGGAAGCCAGGATAGCAGCAGGTTTATGGCAGGTTTGCCTGTATGACCAGAAGGGCCAGGCCTGATGACGAAACCCCAGGAGAGGCCCAGGCTTCGGCCAGAGAGACAGGAGCCGCACCAGTGTCAAAGGGAGAAAGCTGTGTAAACACAAGCCACCCTGGCCCACCCGGCCCAGCACTCACGGTCAGCATAGGCTGGGTTGTTATAGAAGATGCAGCCGGTCGCCCTGTTGTAGCCACGCAGGACGATGAAGTGGCCCTGGTAGTCAGGGGTCCGGCAGAAGCAGCGGTGGCCACTGGGAGTAAAGCAGCAGTACTTGACAGGGCTGGAGCACAGGTCACAGTGCAGCACCCCGGAGTTCACCAACACGATGGCCACGTGGCCCTGCGCCAGGTGTGCTTGGATATCCTGCACACTCACTGTGCTGTGGGCCAGGAGGGCGGTCAGCCAGTGCCAGTGGGCCGTTGTCCCCAGCTTCCACACCGATGTCCCCCAGTCTGTACGCATCCCCAGTGTTCTGATACGTAAGGACTCGGCTTGTCTGCCCTCTGCCCTGAGGTCCCTGCAAGTGGCAATGTCCCGGCCTGCCACTGGGACCCGGGAAAGCTGGGTGAGGAGGCTTACCATTTCTCCACCCGCACTTTGCAGGCCTTGGCTTGTGCAAACAGCTGGTTCACCCGCGTCTCCTCTGTGTCAAAGTGCTTCCTATAGAAGGACTGAAGCGAGAAGGGCGGGCTGGGGTCGTCCCCATCCCGGGTGCACACACTCCATTTAGATGAAGCAAAGCGCATGTTAGAGAAGCAGTATCAGGAGGGTACGGGAGCCCTACTGACAGGCAGGCGGCTCTACCCAGCACGCCCAGGAAGAAGGCTGTGTCTGTCCCTGGCAGCAGAGTGGACAGGACCACGCAGAGGATGAAAAGGATGCTCAAGAGTTGAGAAAGCAGAAGATTTGGACTAGCTCCCTGAGGAGGACTGGTCAGGCCATTCTCCGGTAGACGTGAGCAGTGGCCTAAAGCAAAGGAGCAAGGAAGGCCAGGCTGCCTTTCCGACCCCGCCAGGATGGCTCAGTCACAGCCCAGTGTAGCCAAGCATGACTACGGAACATACTCTGCTTGGTGCTGGGACCTCACGTGACCAGAGCCCCAGGAGGCAGGCCAAAGACATTCTGTTCTCAGGTCCCCTTTTTCTGACTTAAGATTTAGTAGCCTTCTCTACCTGGCATGGGAGGTTCAAAGAAGAATTAGGCTGACTGCCACTGGCTACCATGTGACAGTCCCTTTGCCAATGAGGCCAGAAGAGACTACTCTGCCAAGCCTTGGCTCCTGGGCCAAGATCGCCTCAAGGGCAGGTAAGACTGGGTCTGTCTTTGTAAGGGGACAGAATACACTGGTGTGCTGGCATAGCCATTTACGATGGCATTATTTTTCAAGAAAGAAAAAAAAGAGGACAGACAACACACGTTTTTTCTTCCAGAATACCAATTACCCTGGTGAGAATAAAGAAAACAAGCCAATGACAGTCATGTAAGATCTGAGTATGACTCCACAGCCTTCGACCTGTCCTGTGCCACAGTGGAGAAGAAGTCCAGAACTCAAGGTGCAGATGTTCCAACAGCCCGGACCTCAAGGTCACCTGTCTGTAGTCCATCCCCACTGCCACTGGTCTCTGTACACCTGTGCATTTACTCGAGTGTCCGGGCAGTGACCCTCCTCTCTTCTGTGATAACTGGGTGGCCTACACCTCTGGTTTTCCACGTGCAGAAGGCCCAGTGGGTAGCTGCTCACCTGGTTCTTGTAACCCTTGTCAACACCCAGAGTCTGGGTACAGAAACGGTGTCTTACACCAAAGTGGCGCATCAGGTAGGCCAGGTCAATGGTCCAGATGCTCCTGGTCAGCTGCAGCTCCTGCAGGGCATTTTCAAATTCCCCATCGTCTAGCTGGCCCAGGTACCTGAGGGCAAGAGGGCAGAGATCAGCTTGTTCTTGAGGCAGAGCTAGATCAAGTCACCCTCCAGTATGAGTGCCACAGCTACCGCTGACACTTCTGATCCTCAGAAGTCTCTGTCCTTTATCACGAAAGCACCGTGGTGGCTTTCAGGGCTCAGGCAGCCTGGGACACCGGCTAGCCCCAGAGTGAAGGGCCTGGATTTTGGTTCTTGCATCTCTTATGGACTATGTTGCTGCTCTCTCTGGCTTCATGATTACATATCTAAGATGAGGCCCTTGGGTCACAGAAGTGGCTTTCAAAACTTCAGGCACTAAACATGTGATTAAGTTCTATCTTTCCCAGAATTCTAGTATGTAAGATAGATATAGGAGAACTGATCTGGGTCTCCAGACAACCAATTAAAAACTCTTGTCCAAGGTGATGGTGATGATCCTTTCTGGCTCAGACTGTCAAAGTTCTTATATTTACGTAGCATCCCGGTAGCCTGCTATCAGAGGGGTAGACGAAGCAGCAGGCACCCAACCTGAACATCTGTGAATTCCTTAATCATCCCGAGCTCCCAGGCATTATCTGAGTGAACAGCCTGATCTACCTTCTGTTCACGTTTAAACTATGACAGGGCCTAAATGGAAAGCAGGTCTCTTAAGTTTCATACAAAGCCAAACCATATAGACGCTAGATCCCATCCAGGTTACTTCCTGTTTCATCCTTGAGCCACAGCAGGTGTGGACACTCACCGAAGCACCATCCTGGAGCAGGCCAGGCCACAGTCCCAATGGTATAGCTGCTGGATGATGGGCACAGGCAGCTGCACAAAGTCCCCTGCAAAGAAACAAAAGGGAGGTCTCATTCTCTCTGCACAGTGCCCACCAATGCCACCAACACTGGAAACACCATTATAGCCTCTGCTGAAACTCTAGAGGATCTCAGGGCCTTCCCACAGCCTGTTATTCTCAGCCCACCAGTACTCTCCCCTAGACATCAGCCACTCCCACTCTAAATCCTCCAGTGTGTTGGTCTCCAACTCACTTTAACACAGAACAGTGTTAGCTGCTGCCTCAGCGTGTTCGGTTTCTTGCACATCACCAGGGCCCACTCTAGATAGCATCTGCACCTGCCATGATCCCTCACACTGGGGGGAGAGGGTCTTTGCACACAATCCCCTAGATGGCTTCCCATGAGCTAACACCCACCCCTGGACTTCAACGCTTCTAAAGTGCTGCCCCGCTCAGCAGTGTCCCAGCGGGTCCGCCTGGCTCTAGTTTCCAGGACAAGCAACATGGGAAGACCGTGGCTAGGAAAGGGAAATGTCACACAAGCTAGATAAGCAGAATACTTCTCCAAACTCTAGCTAGTACTGTCCCTAGGCAAACCTCTCAGCCTGTCTGTTCCAGACTGTGAAGTGGAACAGAAAGGGCCACACCCCAAGGTCATAGGTGGAACGAATACCCATTATACCTAGGCATTCTGGTACCATTGGCTGAGTGGAGGAACTATCTACTCCCTCTCACTGGATTGAGTTTTGCTGTTCCTAAAGTGGGGGACTTTGGTCTGATTTGGTCAACAGATTGAAAAATACTTTCCAAGAGCCTGGCACATGTACTGCCGTAGAGTGACGAGTGGCATAGCAAGGTCCTGTCCCAGTGCGCAGCAAGAACAAACAGATACAGCAGATAAGCAACAGCTTAGATTAGGAAAACAATGGGTGTGCCTCGGAGAGCACAACATGGAAGAAGAACAGTACGCGCTGAGGCCCTAAGGGGAGGACAAGCTGGCATGGGGCCGGGAGCAGCTTAGCTGTGAGTATGCACAAAGTTCAGTCGAGCTGGGTATGCGGGCAAACAGGAGGGGCATAAGGCCAGTCTGGGCTATAGAGTGAGACCTACATGCATGTACGTACACGTACACACACACACACACACACACACACACACACACACACTATACTGGTTACCACTTATTTGACACATGAAAATCCAGTCTACTCCAATTCCCCTTTGAGGATTTGTGGGATCTCCCCTGGGCCAGGTGACTAGCTCTGTGCAAAGTCACCCCGGGGGCCCACCTACCAAGCCAGCCCTCTCCCATCACTCCCTGTGCGCGTGTTAAACAGGAGGGCCATGCACTAGCCAGATTTGTCCTGGCTCTTCTGACATGATGTCTGAGTTTAACCTCCTGCTCTCCCGTGTCTTCAGGGACTGGTTGAACAGCCACTATTTCTAGGGCTTTCCCTAACCCCAGGCAGAACAGTCCCCATCTCGTGTGTAATCCCTTAAGCCTGAGTTCACACTTAAGGGCATAGAATGCAGCCCTTAAGCAGCTCTTATCTGTAGCCTGCTGGACAGGGACTCACGATGGTTCCTAGCTATTCACCTCCAGGTGTGGCTGTGGGAGGCGGGACATAACGGCAAACAGGCCACCTGACATTTCTGTGTCTGCTTCCTCCTCTGGGAAATGAACCACAGCTCACAGAATGCAGTGAGTAAATGGAGCAACAATATGCATAATGCTTTCTGTAGGAAATGATGTGACCTACCAGTTAGCTGGGTCTAGGCAAAGCTGAGGCTTCATGCCCTTCATTCTCTTTACCCCAGGCACCTCTAAATCTAAGTCTTTCTAAGGCCCTTGGCCTTTACCATTTTGTAAATTCAATCTTGTCTGTCCCCTTCCCAAATCCTATTCCATCACCTGTCCCTGCACACAACAGCTAGAGGCAGGTCATCTATAGTTTCTAATCTTTAAACTCCTTGAGATGGATCTGGGGTTAGGCACACACCTTTAATCCTAGCACTCAGGAGGCAGAGGCAGGGAGATCTCTCTGGTTCAAGGCCAGCCTGGTCTCCAGAGCAAGTTCCAGGACAGCCAGGGCTACACAGAAGAATCCTGTCTCAACAAACAAAAACCCAAACAAACAAAAGTCCTTGAAATAGCAGATGGCTCTGTGGATAAAGAGCTCAAGCGTGAGGATCCGAGCTCAGATCCCCAGAACCCACTCCCACCTGCAATCCCAGCAAGCAGACAGACAGGAAATCTCCAGAGCAAGCTGGCTAGCCAGACTAGCAGAAATGGCAAACTCAAGGCTGAGTAAGAGATCCTACCTCAACATATATGGCAGAGATGGTCAAGAAGACCATCTCTGATGATACCTGATGTCAGCCTTGGCCTTGCACATGCACATACATATACATACAATGCACATACACAAAACACATAAAAAGGAGATAATAAATGAAGCTCTCACCCACTACATATACTTTTTTTTTTTTTTTCTAACAGGGTCTTAGGAGGCACGGGATGTCCTCGAACTTGACAGGTAGCCAAAGGTGACATTCAACTTCTGATCCTTCTATCGCCACCTCCTCAGGGATTACGGGCACGTGCCACCATGCCTACTTTTATGTGGTGGTGGGGGTGGAACCCAGGGCTTCCTCTGGGCAATCACTACCCCAGTGGAGCCACATCTCATCCCCAGCCTTGTACAGGTCCTAGCCTACAGGTGCCAGCTGAGCGTAGGTCCACCAGACTCACCGCAACCTTCACCTGTCCCGGCTGTCCCGTGAACCCACCAGTCTTAGCTGTGCTGAGGCCATCTTGGCACACGTGGCACCCTCAGTCTGGGACTCTTTTCTCTCTACTGTTCTGAGCATTTCGGCCTCAGTTCAAAAATCTCTTGAGGGTTTTTTTTTTTGTTTTTTTTTTCTGACTGTGCATTTGATGGGTGAGGAGGGCGTTCCTTTCTGACATCCTGTTTGTTTCATTCGGTGCTTAGCAAAAGTGATACAAAAAGCTGCTGTCACCTCACGGAGGCCCGAGCTTCCTGAAGAACAGTGATGGCTTGAGCCTGCATCCCTCACAACCAAAACTCACGTTGAAACAAACCCCACAGTGTGGTGGTAAGAAGTTGCTGGATCTCGAGGGGCTGGAGAGATGGCTGAGCAATTCTGAGTGCTGGCTGCTCTTCCAGAGGACCCAGGTTCAGTTCCTAGCACCATGTTGGCTCACAACCAGATATAACTCCAGGCCCAGGGGGTCTCCAACATCCTCTTACACACACACACACACACACACACACACACACACACACACACACACACACACGGTACACAGACAAACCCACAAGCAAACCACTCATACACACAAAATAAAAATAAATAACTCTTTAAATAAGAAGGTCTTTAGGGAAGTAACTCAGTCACGCGGTCTCTGAATTTGTGTCTTATAAAGGGTCAGGAAAAAGAACTTAGGCCATGTCTTTGTTTCCTTTCCAGCTGCTGTGATGGAACACCCTGACAGAAGTAACTTATGGGGAAAGGGTTTATTCTAGCTCACAACTCCAGGTCATGTCATCATTTCTGGAAAGTCACAGTAATAGGGGACAGCCAGTCATACCACAGCCAATCAGGGACAGGTGGCAAGAATACATCACCCCCTTCCCCCTTTTTACCAGTCTCTGGGGCCCAGCCCAAGAAACAGAGCTGCCCACATTTAGTGTGAGTCTAATTCAATGAACCCATTAAGAAAATCTCTCACAGGCCGACTAACAGGCCAATCTGACCTAGACAATTCCTCATGAAGTCGCCTTTCCCACATGATTACAGATTCTATCAGGTTGACGATTAAAACTAAAAAGCTGGAGATGGCTATGCAGTTAAAAAGTACTCGATGCTTTTGCAAAGGACCCAGGCACAGTTCAGTTCCAAGCACACGCACAGCGGCTTACAGCTGTTTGGAACTCCAGTTCAAGGCGCTCTGACACCCTCTTCCAGCCTCTGAGGGCACCTGCATGGACGTACATGCAGACAGAACACTCAAGACACATAAAACTGTATAAAGGAGATCATAGAAAGAAGAGAGAGAGAGGGAGAGAGGAGAGAAAAGCAAGCTAACAGCCATAGGCCTTTGTCTTTTTACCCTTCTGATATTCTGTTGTGCAAGGACACAGTACTTCTCCCCCTTCCTCTCTTCCTGTCATGTGGGCATATCTAGAGAGAGTCGTCTATAAGGAACAGATGGATCTTGTACTGAACTTACCAGCTGCCTGATCTTAGAATTCTCAGCCTCCAGAACTGAGCAAATAAATTCCTATTGTTTATAAGTTGTGCAAGTGGACTAAGACACCAGGGAACTTGCTGGTCTTGTTTGCTGCTTCCTTGCCTAGTACCTGATGTTTAGTAAGTAACCCATTATTATACTTGAGGCTGGTGGTGGAGCATTGTCAGGGACAGAGGTTCAATCCCCAGTGCTACAAATTAAAAAAAAAAAAAAAAAAAGAGGACGGAAAAAAGTCAGACTTACTGAAGAAATGATGGGCTGTGGGACAGGCTCTGGGCAAACCAAGGTGACGTAAACCTCAGTCTCCAGAGACGATCCTCTAAAACAGTTCTCCCATGGTATGCTAGTGGAAAACTCTCTGCAGGGTGTGGTGCTATCAAGATGGGTGTCTTCCCTTTCCAGAAGCTTCACTGAGGTTGTAAATGGCCTTTTTGCTCTGATCTACTTAGGCTGATAACCACCCAGGTTTTGTTTGTATCTAACCATTGATCTGGAATGTTGCTTTTTCATCTCTGACATCTAAATGCTCTGCTCCCCACTCTTCATTCTCTCCTCCCCCACAACATGCTCACAGAGAGGGCACCTGCTTCCTCCCTGGCCAGCCTGAGAATTCTGTAATAGGCAGGTAGGGCCAAGGTTGCATTTGCCTCTACCCAGCCTTCACCCACACCTGGCATTCATATATGCTGTTGAATAGTTTGTTTTTTTAAAGCTCTACCTCTTCAAATATTTACTTGTCACTACAATGCCCATTAGTTCTAGGCTTCCTGATCACAACTCTCTGTTGGAGACTCCCTCTTTAGTCTGTGGCCTGCACTCTGGTTCTAATTAGTTGGGTCATGCCTTTTCTTATTCTGTTATAAAATGTGGGATAGGACAGTTGCTTTTCAGCGTCCTAAGAGACTCAGCTGTCTGTCCTCTTTCACTCAGCCTTAGAACCCCTAGATCATGAGGCCTCACAGGGTAAACATCCCTGCTTGGCTATCCTGATCTTGGCACAGACAAGATGTTTGCTGGGAGTAGGTGATAAGTGTAGGAGAGGCCTTGGTATTTGTCCAGATGACAGCGTTAGCATTCAGAGCCCCAAACTGCTGTTGATATTAATGCCTGAAGCTGAGACATGACCCTACCTGACAGCTAGGGTCTGCTTTGGTTGTGGCCTGGCCTCAGTTGTCCGGTTGTCACTAGAGAAGGAAGGCAGTCAACTCTCCCTGGACACTTTCTCCCTCTCGGCCTCAGTCTGCTCACCTCAAAAAGTACAAATAACAGCAGGAGCCTACTTCACTGGGATTTATGAAAATTAATTCTACACCGTCTATAAACATTTTATCACTGTATCTACTACCTCTTAGCGCCCTACACAAGTGAGCCATTATCTGCTGACGCTAAGAAAGGGCAATGATCTTGTCAAAGTTCACAGAGTTAGATAATTGGGGCAGTAAAAATGTAAATCCCAGTATAGGTCCAAGTCCTGCTCCAGGCTACCACCAGAAGGAACCACTCTCTGAACGTGATGTTACTCTCCAACTGACACTAAAGGGTTTGGGTACCAAACCCCTTGACCCCTCCCATGAGATGGCACCTCGCCATAACAGTTTATTAGTACCAACTCTTGGGCCTTAAGCAGAGCTCCACCACGACGTCCAGCTTTCCCCACTTCTTGAGTAAGCAAAGGGGCTCGGCGCTGCGTTTGGGAAGCCAGAGAAAAAGTCCCTCCCGTTCTTTCCCCCCTTCACAGCCCCAAGCTTTCCACAGTTGCCCCTGGGAACAGGATCCCGCAACGTGGTTCAAAAGCAAAGCAGGACTACTCGTTTCTGGGGAAGGTAGTGCCTTTGCCCCCTTGGACTTTTCCACTTGACTGCTTGCTCTCAGAACTCCCCGAGCTTCCAGCCCCGGGAGACTCGGTAACAAACAACAGAAGTGGAGGACGGGAGATGAGAAGGAATATCCACCTAGCTAAGGTCCACTAGAAGCTCCAGTCTGGGGTGAGGCCGCAGACGGCCCAAGGTCGCGCGGCCAGACCCTGCCCAGCTCTAGGGCGGAGTCCCCCCTCGGTTTCCCCGGTGAGGGCAAGGCCCTTTGGGGAGGCACTGACCGGGCTCGAGCGGCTGCCCCGTTGCCTCTGCCTCCGTCCTCATGACCCGGGTGGCGCAGGGCGCCCATGGCCCCGGCCTGGAGCTGATTGCAGCTGCGACTTCTGCTGGGCAGCGAGCGCGGCCAGTGCGGGTAGCGTTCCTCCTCCTCCTCCTCCTCCTCCTCCTCCTCCGCCGCCGCCGCCGCCGCCGCCGCCTCCGCGGTTCAGAGACCGGTAGGCGGGGGCTAGGCCAGCTCAAGCCACGCCTCGTCCCTTCCAGGTCTGGGACCTGGAAACCCGCCCTTTCCCTAGGCCACGCCTCTTCCCTGCCGCCCACTTCTCTCCCATAAAGAGCTCCCCGCAGGTCCTGCCCTTCTCCGGAAGCCCCGCCCCCTCCCGGGCCCCGCCCCCCAAGGCCCTTCCACAGCCACGTTGGAGCCTCACAAACTCCCTCCCGCTTGGCTTGCTCCTTTGCAGCCTGAGGTGTTAGCTCGGGCCCCTCGCAATGCCCCATCGAAACGCCGGGGAATCCTTTTCTGACTCCCTTTAGGTCTTAACTGCACAATGAATAATGATAAGTTCCCCCAGCTCAGTGCGCCCCTTACCTGCTGGCGACCAGATCCAAAGCTTAAATTCCTAGTCCGAGCCTCACTTCCGGTCGCTCCAGAGCGTTGGTCTCCCGCCTAGATCCCGCCCAATCCGTCCCTGGAGTACTTTGTAAGTGTGGGTCCCCATGTTCCTTTTTAGGATTGATGTTTCCGGCGATCCCCGGGTCCTTTCCAGTGCCGGAACAATAGTGCTAGAGCTCTCGTTTCCCAGCCGGCGGATTAAGGAGAAAGCGTAAGTAAGCGGACTCTCACCGCTGGGGAAAGGAAAAGGAGGAGCCCTGCGCACGGCATTCTGGGAGCGCGTGGTATTCTGGGTACCCGGGGCCCGCCATTCCCTCGCTTCACGCCTTCGCCTTCTAACGTTTGTGCCAGAACCGAAAAGGGGCCTGCAGTCACTTGGTGAGGAGAGGCGGCGAACCGGTAAGAGGAGGCCGAGGCTCCCCTAGAGGGTTAGGGGCAGGAAGGGACCCTGCAGAGGAGCTCAGCGGGGCATAGCGGAAGGCAAGAAGCCCGGGCCGATCCAAACACCGTTTCGCTAGCGCTTGAAACAGTTATTTACGCCTGGTCCGCATGTTCTGTGCCTTTCCGGGTCACCGGTTTTCGAAGCTTGCAAGCACTCGTTTCTTACGGATTACCACCTTTCCCTCTGGATCATCATTTTCACCGTCCTTTGCATCCCTGCCTCCACTCTGATTCCGGCACTGGTCCTCTCATGCTTTCCACGCTGCTGCAGACGTTTTAACCAGTGGCCCTGCTGCAGAAGCTCCACGTTCGATCCACTGTGTAGATGCTGCTACTTTTTTTTTCTTATTGAGCCTTTGGCTATAATCCTGCTGTGTTTCTCCACCGTTTTCGTCATAAAAGCCACACTCCTAAAGTTGAAATCGGTGGTCCCTCACCAAGAGAGACGGCGTTTAACATCCTTATAGTTTTCTCATGAACATAGGTTATGTGCTTATCAGGATTATAAAAGCCCTGTGCATAGTCTCTGTCTTTTACTGAGAATAAGTCGAGCGTTTACCCTGATTGTTCTCATGATGAGCATTTCCTGTTTGTAGCATGTATCACTCTGTGAGCGCCTTGATACTTTATCCCCATCTTTTAGTGAAGAGTCAAAGCTGAATTGAAACCTCCTCTCCTAGATTTCTCTGGGTTTGGGTCTATATGTAGTGTAAGGAACTGTGGCCTTTAGCCAAATATGGTTGCTGAGCACTTGGAATATTACTAGTGTGACTAGGGGAATTTTTTAAAAAAAATATATATGTTTTGTTTGAATAACTACATGTAAGCAGTGGTTACTTTACACATCAGGTCCATATCAGAGTTGTTTTGGTGAATATAAAGGGACCCATGTTTGGGAATAGAAAGGAGGCACTCTGGATTCCCACTAGCTCTCTCCTTACCATCCTTCCTCACTTCACATGTTTGTGTGTACTTGCCATGGTGGTTCCTTGAAACCAAGAGTCAGACTCCTTCCACAGAAGATGCAGCTCTGACATATCCGCAAAGCTTGTGGAATGCCAGTCCGTCTTAAGCTCTGAAAGGTAACTGTTGTCTCTCTCTCTCTCACTGCAGCACAGGAAGAGTCCTGCCAAGATGTCTATCGGTGTGCCGATTAAAGTCTTGCATGAGGCTGAGGGCCACATCGTAACATGTGAGACCAACACTGGTGAGGTGTATCGAGGGAAGCTCATTGAAGCAGAGGACAACATGAACTGCCAGGTATCTTACTTTGCACCTGGGGCTGTAAAGGAACTGTGGCTTCTATCCTGGGGGATAAAAAGATACTTGGGAGTCTTCTTTTTTTTTTTTTTTTTTTTTTTTTTTTGGTTTCTCTGTGTAGCTTTGCGCCTTTCCTGGAACTCACTCTGCAGTCCAGGCTGGCCTTGAACTCACAAGAGATCCACCTGGATTAAAGGCGTGTGCCACCACCGCCCAGCTTACTTGGAAGTCTTGATGGAGTTATTTTCATCCAACAGTTTACTGAATGCTTAATGTGTGCCAGACACTCTTAGAGTCTCTGAGATTGTTCGTATGTCTATGTAGACTTAGTCGTGAGGCAGAAAAGTCATTTGACGGCCTGATAACCATATTATCAGGTATGTTCCAGCACTTGGGAGGCTGAGGTAGATGATCGAGAGTTCAGGGCCCTGCAAGTTGTATTTGACTTTGTTTTCTCCCATTTGGAAGAAGTGGAGAGTCTTTCAGAAGAGTCAGGATCAAGAGCCAGTGTCCGTTTTCCATCACAATTTATAATTGTGGATCTCAAGCTCATATATTACGTGTGGTTTTTTTTTTTCTTGTAGAAAGTCTCATCTGATATAACCAGACTTGTGGTCCCGTCGTCGCCCCCCCCCCCCCCATTAGTTAATAACTTGAGCTTTGGAATTAGAAATTTGAGTCAGGTCATAATTAATGGCCTTAGGTATCTTAATCACTTGTTCTCTCCTCTGTAAAGTGAAGATGGAGTTATTTTGGATCCTCTGTGCTGTAAATGCCAAGACAGTGAAATACACAAGAGATTCATTGGGGAAGTGGTAGTGCCGGGTAACAGTGAGAGAGCGGGAGTCTGTGAGTAGTTAGTTCCTAGTCTTTTTTTTTTTTTTTTTTTTCTTTTTCTTTTAGTTTTTCGAGACAGGGTTTCTCTCTGTCAAAGTTTTTCTTTTGACTCACAGTTTGAGGATACAGTCTATTGCCGAGGAAGTCGTGGTGTCGGGAATTTGAGAAGGCAGCTGGTCACATTGAGTCTGCAGTGAGAAAGCAGACGAGTGCCCTGCTTAGCCCAGTCTCTACTTCTTATTCACTTGAAGTTGGGTCTCCTCACCTCAACCTGATCTAGATAATCCCTCACAGGCATGCTTGTCCCTTCAGTAATTCTAAATCCACCAAGTTGATGGTGCTAACCATCATAGCAGGGGAGTTTTACATCTCAGGGAGCAAAAAGAGCCTTGGACTTCAGCTTAATGCTGAGGAAGTTTCACCGAAGTAAGAGTAGCGGGAGGCAGAGGTGGATTGGCTCTGCTGTCACTGGCAGCCTGTGGGGAGGGCCACCTCAGAGTGAGTGCCACGGTGGATCTGCAGAGTGGCAGCTGGAGGCTGTCGACTCCACACACTCCTCCAGCCTGCTGTCTTCTGAGTGGGTGAAAGGTGATATCCCTGACTGCTCCAGGTGATCCATACCTTGGAGTCGTTACAGAGATCAGATGGCTTGTGTGTTTGCAGGAGCTGGCTCAGTGCTTTGCATGTTATAACTGTTAGACTGTACGGTGCCTGTTACTGCATTGCACGTGAGAAAACTAAAGCTTGTAGAGGTAAAGTGCCTTATGTAGGGTCCCACCTGTGGGCCAGGTGGCCTGACTATTGCCTTTAGTGTGTGTGTGAGTTAGTTATTTTCTGTGGCTGTGATAACACCATCAGAAGGAGTTTGGTTTGGCTCACAGTTCCAGAGGCAGTGTCCATCATGGCAGGAGAAATGGTAACAGCAGGAAGCTAAGTGCTTACATTTTCAATAGAAAGTGGAAGCAGTGAGCAGCCTGGAAGTGTTGGAGAGTATTAATCTCAAAGCTTGCCCCCAGTGACAGTCTTCCTTCAGCAAGGCTGCATCCCCTAAGCCCACCCCCCAAAAAAAACAACCCACCACCAACTGGGGGCCAAGTGTGCAAACGCCTACAACTGTGGAGGATACTTTTCATTGAAACTATTATAATTGTGCTGGTTAGTTTTTTGTCAATTTGACACAAGCTATAGTCGTCTTGGAAAAGGGAACCTGAGTTGTGAAAATGCCTCAATCAGATTCTCCTATAGGCAGGTCTGTGGGGCATTTTCTTGATTAGTGATTGATGTGAAGGGCCCAGTGGGCTATGCCACTCATAGGCAGTTGTTTCTGGGAGGTATAAGAAAGGTAGCTGAAGGCTGAGCATGGTGGTGCATGCCTTTAATCCCAGCACTTGGGAGGCAGAGGCAGGAGGACAACCAGGGCTACATAGAAAGACTGCCTCAAAACAATAGCAATAAAAAGTGTGTGTGTGTGTGTGTGTGTGTGTGTGTGTTTGTGCTCGCGCGCATGCATATATAGAGAAAGGTAGCTTGCTGAGCAAGAGCCTGGAGGGCAAGTCAGTAAGCAGCATTCCTCCGTGCTCTCTGCTTCAGTTCCTGCCAACTCGAGTCCCTTCCTTGGCCTTCTCAGTGATTGACTGTGATCGGGATATGTATGCCAGACTCTTTCCTCCCCATGTCGCTTTTGGCTGGGGTGTTTATTCCAGCAGTAGAAGCAAACTGAAACAAGATTTAGTTTCGAGTTGGATGGTGTGTTGTGTGCTGCCCTCTTTCCCCTCTGCTGGGATGGAGCCCAGTGCCTGCGGCCTGAGGTTAAGTACTCTCCTGCTAAACCCCTTTGCCAGTTTGGGGTTGCTTTTGAGACAAGCTGTCTCTCTGTAGATCCCAAGTTGGCCTTAAACACTTGATCCTCCTGCCTTATCATCAATTACAGGCAGGTGTTACCCCACTCAGCTGTCAAGGCTCTCTGAAGTCCTGTACTACTTGGTTTTCTTCCACAGGAAGGTCCTGGGAGGTATAGCTGACCTGCTTAGTGCTGTCAAGATCCTGACCTGTAGTAGTCTGCCTACAGGTCAGGAAGTGCCACTTTCGTGGGTCCACTCCTGTCAATTAAGATATCTTTGTTTTAGGGTGTTTAGCTTTGTGAGTAGAATGAAAGATTTTGGATAGTGACTATTAATGTATTTATTATGCTGCTTAAACAACTTACTGAGGCTTAAGGGCCTCAGACAGCCCAACTGTAATACGAAGTTGTCTGAGTAGATGACTGGTATTCTCAGAAATGCAGCCCACGTGATGCAAAGTGCATGGATCTTGGTATTGTCAGGTTGCAACTTGGAAAGTAGTGTGTCTTGTGTGTGAGCTTTGTGCCTCCCTTGCCCACTGTTCCCTCCAAAGTCACTGATAACAGATCATTTTGATTTACTTGTAGAGTCTGTAAACATGGCCGCACTCTGAGGTACAGGGAATTAGGTCTTCATCATGTCCTAATTTTTGCAGGGACACACTTTAGCCCATAATACTGCGCATATCAAGATGATGAGTGTTCATTAGGTTGACCAGAGCCTGAGCACATTGCATAAAGATCAATAGGCTATGTAGAGCAAACCCCAGCAGCGGGTGAGCACTGAACACTTCACTCATGTATCGTCTGGGATTGTGATGGCTCCTGCAGGTACCCCTACTGTTTCCTTCCTTTCCCAGTCCTTTAAAAATGAGGGCATCCTCCAAACACCTTCTGCATAATATTTCTGTTTATAAGCTTAGGACAGAGACAGGCAGGGTAGTACACAGCTGCAATCTCAGCACACAGGAAAATGAGGCAGAGGAGTCACACAAACTCAAGGCAAGCCTGGACTTTGTGACACCGTGTCTCAAAAAAACAACAACAAACCTGACAGATTTGGGGACCTGAGAGGATTCCATCAAAACCTCTTCTTTCCCTGTGTGTGTTGACATAGACTTCTTTAATCTGTGTGTATTTAAATAGATAGAGCTTATAAAAATTATGTAGTGGGATATTCTTCTTGCAGTGATAGAATCCCTCAAGTGTTCTCGCTTCTCAGCTATGTCCCTATCCCTTTATATGGTAGCTTCAAAGTAAGGTATAGGCTATGGTGCAGCTGAGCTTGATTAGAAAGCCAGGCTGTGCTTTTAATAAAGGAACATTCAGGTGTGAGGCCAGGCAGAAGGAAATCATTTTGAGATACAGATTTCTCTGGCATTCAGATATAGGAGATCCTATTAAATAATGTTCTTAGGTGCTAGAGGGATGGATCAGAGGTTGGGAGCACCGGTTGCTCTTTAAGAAGACCTGGCTTCAATTCTCAGGACCCACATGGCAGCAGGAACCATCTGTAACTCGAGTTCCAGGAACTCTGATGTCCTCTTCTGGCCTCTGAAGGCACCTGCACACTTGTGTTGCACATGCATACATACACATTAAATACATTAGTAAATAAATCCTTTTTTTTTTTTTTTTTTAATGATGTTCTTACCAGCATCACTATGTAAAAATCTGCCTCTTAGGATCTTGGGAGCCTTGGCACTTGTTGGGGAAGCACTATACCACTGAGCCACATACCCAGAACTTGATTGTTTTAACACAGTTTATTGTACTGTGTTTGTGTCATTTGAAGGCATAGCATGTATATACATGAAATCTGTGGTAAGTTCCTGGAAATGGAACTTAGTGGGTCAGACACATTTGGGCATCTTAGGTTTGGACGTTTGCACAGAAAGATGGAGATCTTTGATCTCTTATTGCTTATACCCTACCACCTCAAGGTGAGTGTACCGGCCAGAGCTACAGGCAATGGCATTAGCTGGGAGATGGTGCCGTGTAGATGGAAGTGGTCAGAAGTCCCTGTGGTTTACTTATTCAAGCTAATTTTGTAGTGGAGGTGGAGTGCCCCAGTCCCTTTCCCATCTTGGGAATAGATGACTTAGAATTAAAGGCTCCTCAAATGGAGACGTCTTCAGGTTTTGGCTCTGTGTGGTAATCATGGCCTGAAACATCATCTGTCTTAGTAGATGCCCAGGGGAAAACTAATGTTTTCTTCACAATCAGAAGAAAAGGTTTCTTAGGAAAAATGCTTGTAATCAGATAGTTAATAAGTATTAAAAAGCTATAACGAGCTGGGAATGTAGCTTAATGATACTGCTTG